TAGTAGTTCAGTTCCATCCTAAAATAAAACTCAATGACCTCTGAACTGGAGATGGAGGGGCACAGCTGTGTGTGTGTGTAATGTCATTTGAAGAACCTTGATGGAGACAGACACCCTTTCCTCTGACCTCCCATGATCCCGTTTCCATTAGTGACTGTAGTTCCAACAGGATACACAACACACACACACACACACACACACACACCACACACACCACGTGACTTTAGTTCCATCAGGACGCTTTACTTTGTGGGGAAAATAACACAAATAATAAAACATACAGCTCAACGAACAAACACACACACCACACAACACAACCACACACACACACACCACACCACACACACACACACAACCACACACACACCACACACACCACACCACACACCACACCACACCACACCCCCTTGAGGCATGTGGTTATTATTGAGTCTAAACACAGATGCAGGTAATGAGTAGCCTGGCTACCTGCCTCCCATCTGGACTGCTGCTGGAGGGAGTCATTACATTATTACCCCTGGACTGCTGCTGGAGGGAGTCATTACATTATTACCCCTGGACTGCTGCTGGAGGGAGTCATTACATTATTACCCCTGGACTGCTGCTGGAGGGAGTCATTACATTATTACCCCTGGACTGCTGCTGGAGGGAGTCATTACTTATTACCCCTGGACTGCTGCTGGAGGGAGTCATTACTTTATTACCCCTGGACTGCTGCTGGAGGGAGTCATTACTTATTACCCCTGGACTGCTGCTGGAGGGAGTCATTACTTAATTACCCCTGGACTGCTGCTGGAGGGAGTCATTACATTATTACCCCTGGACTGCTACTGGAGGGAGTCATTACATTATTACCCCTGGATGCTGCTGGAGGGAGTCATTACATTATTAACCCCTGGACTGCTGCTGGAGGGAAGTCATTACTTTATTACCCCTGGACTGCTGCTGGAGGGAGTCATTACTTTATTACCCTGGACTGCTGCTGGAGGGAGTCATACTTATTACCCCTGGACTGCTGCTGGAGGGGAGTCATTACTTAATTACCCCTGGACTGCTGCTGGAGGGAGTCATTACTTATACCCCTGGACTGCTGCTGGAGGGAGTCATTACTTTATTACCCCTGGACTGCTGCTGGAGGGAGTCATTACTTAATTACCCCTGGACTGCTGCTGGAGGGAGTCATTACATTATTACCCCTGGACTGCTGCTGGAGGGAGTCATTACATTATTACCCCTGGACTGCTGCTGGAGGGAGTCATTACATTATTACCCCTGGACTGCTGCTGGAGGGAGTCATTACATTATTACCCCTGGATTGAGACAGTTTGTTGGCCATTACACAGAGAGATGGGGGGGGGGGGGGGGGGGGGACAGAGAGCGAGCGAGCGAGAGAGACCCATCCAGACAATAACCCTTTCTAAACATATCAACATCGCCCTCTGGAGGTGAACTACTGCCCAACAGGGCTGCTTTCAGCAGGGTACAACGCTGTGGACTGTTCAGAAAGAAATAGATGACGTAAAACAAACAGGAATAACAGAAAATAGGAAAAGCTTTGAAACAGGAACCGTTAGTCTTGAGAAGTTAGAGCATCTCTCGGGCATATCGAGACCACTCAAAGAAAAACACTGAAAAATAGTCAATTTATTGATGTCTGTCTCTACATACACAAACCCTCTCCAAAATCGGATACGGCACGTCTACACATTTATGCACAACGTTTAAATATTTAAAATAGACCCACAAAATAACGTTTAATCACATTTCCTAAAGCATTTATGCCGTTCATGATGAAAAATCCACCGTGGTCCCAAAATGCACTGAAAAGATGTGTCTGGATGAGGAGGCAAACGTCCTCTACTCTAATAAGAGATATTGAAATTGCTTGGTGTTCAGAGAAAGTTATCAGAAAGTGATACATATCCAAAGTACATCTCTGTGGAAGTGTCAAACACAATGGTTTAAAAAACAAGTCAGATCCGATGCGTGCTACACTAGCGTGCTAAACCTTACATTTACATTTTAGTCATTTAGCAGACGCTCTTATCCAGAGCGACTTACAGGAGCATTTAGGGTTAAGTGCCTTGCTTAAGGGCACATCGACAGATTTTTCACCTAGTCGGCCCGGGGATTAGAACCAGCGACCTTTCGGTTACTGGCACAACGCTCTTAACCACTAAGCTACCTGACACCCTTCTACTGCATCTGATGAATGCTTCCAGTATGTTCTCCTCTACCTCCATGCAAGCAACGGCCCAGTTTACACACCCAAGCTTAAGTACATTATGAATTGAAATGACCTTTGATGACACTGCTGGACATCAAATAACTGTTCCAATGGGAGTATTAAAGCTAAAATCGGCCTGATTGATTAGTTTTCCCATGTGTCACATTTTCCAGACTGAAGGATTATTCTTTGTCAGTCCAGCTAAAACGTAAACACGTGGAAGAATGCTCAAAAGAGGTGGAGTGTTCCTTTAATACAACATATTAGTACAGAACAAAACCAGTGGTGTTCATCAGGGCACGCAGCAGAAAACGTTTTAAAACTGACATGAGCGTTTCACTGTTTCACTCTGTTTTTTTTTTCTTCTGTTTTGCGCCTATATGAACATGACCCAGTAGTCATTCTCTGAGCCAGACCGACACGAAGCAGAACATTAGACAACAATAGTCATTCTCTGAGCCAGACCGACACGAAGCAGAACATTAGACAACAATAGTCATTCTCTGAGCCAGACCTACACTACCAGTCAAAAGTTTGGACACACCTACTCCTTCAAGGGTTTTTCTTTATTTTTACCCAAAAAAATTACAATGTAGAATAATAGTGAAGACATCAAAACTATGAAATAACATAATAAGTTACCAGCCTCAGAAATTGCAGCCCACAAAAATGCTTCACAGAGTTCAAGTCACAGACACATCTCAACATCAACTGTTCAGAGGGGACTGTGTGAATCAGGCCTTCATGGTTGAATTGCTGCAAAGAAACCACTACTAAAGGACACCAATAAGAAGAAGAGACCTGCTTGGGCCAAGAAACACGACCAATGGACATTAGACAGGTGGAAATTTGTAGTCCAAATTGGAGATTTTTGGTTCCAACCGCCGTGTCTTTGTGAGCTGCGGTGTGGGTGAACGGATGATCTCCACATGTGTAGTTCCCACCGTAAAGCATGGAGGAGGAGGTATTATGGTGTGGGGGTGCTTTGCTGGTGACACTATCTGTGATTTATTTAGAATTCAATGCACACTTAACCAGCATGGCTACCATGCGATACGCCATCCCATCTGGTTTGGGCTTAGTGGGACTATCATTTGTTTTTCAACAGGACAATGACCCAACACACCTCCAGGCTGTGTAAGGGCTATTTTACCAAGAAGGAGAGTGATGGAGTGCTGCATCAGATGACCTTTTTGGGTTACTACATGATTCCATATGTGTTATTTCATAGTTCTGATGTCTTCACTATTATTCTACAATGTAGAAAATAGTAAAAAATCAATAAAAACCCTTGAATGAGTAGGTGTATCCAAACGTTTGACTGGTACTGTACATGAAGCAGAACATTAGACAACAGTAGTGATTCTCTGAGCCAGACCTACATGAAGCAGAACATTAGACAACAGTAGTGATTCTCTGAGCCAGACCTACATGAAGCAGAACAGACAAAGCTGTGTGTCTTAAAATCCATATCTTGTGCTGCCCATGAAAGTATGTTCACTCTCTACAGACTCTTACACAAGTTCTACCCCTAACCCTAACCCAGGGTTTCCCAAACTCGGTCCTGGGGACCTCAAGGGGTGCACGTTTATTAATTTTTTTGCCCTAGCACTACACAGTTGATTCAAATAATCAACGCTTGATGATGAGTTGGGTTATTTGAATCAGCGGTGTAGTGCTAGGGCAGAAACCAAAACAGTGCACTCCTTGAGGTCCCCGGGACCCAGTTTGGGAAACCCTGCCCTAACCCATTAAAGTATGTTCACCGTCTACACACACTTACACAAGTTCTACATGACTCACGTGACTCGGTATCTACAGAAGAGACCCACCGTCTAAAAAAAACAAAAAAACAACTGTCCTTCTCTTTCTGCATGTACAGTACATGTTCAGTAACTATCAAATATGTATTTACGTGTCTTATAACAAGTGTCATATTGCAAAATACAAAATCACCCTCTTGGCAATCAGATTTAAAAGCTCCTTTCCTACTAAAAAACAGAGGTCTGTCTATGAACACAATGGATTCAAAGTGTTTGGTCATCTATCTGGAGCAGTCTCAATAAAACCGCGTCCCAAACAGCACCCTATTCACTATATAGTGCACTCCTTTTGAACAGAGCCCTGGCACCCTATTCACTATATAGTGCACTCCTTTTGAACAGAGCCCTGGCACCCTATTCACTATATAGTGCACTCCTTTTGAACAGAGCCCTGGCACCCTATTCCCTATATAGTGCACTACTTTTGAACAGAGCCCTATGTGAGGTAAAGCATGGAATAGGGTGCCATTTGGGTTGCAGCCATACTGTACGCAGGGTAAGCACTAAGCAGTCACCTTGATTGAGGTGGTACTTCTGAGTCTAAAGTCATCAAGGTTTAACTGACCGGTAAAGGGGCAATCTACTGTTCAAACAATAACAAAAGTGGACACCCCACCACTGTTTTGGTCAAAAGCTGAAGGATGAGGCTGGAGTTGTGTAAACACTCTCGAATTCATAGACACCGAGCTATGAATGCAAGGACTGACCATCCATGATATCAAATCGATAGTTAAAACAATGTTTTGGGAGAGGGTGTCTAATCAGAGCTATATCTATGGTTCTGGGTCTTCTTGGTCTAATCAGAGATATATCTACGGTTCTGGGTCTTCTGGTCTAATCAGAGCTATATCTATGGTTCTGGGTCTTCTTGGTCTAATCAGAGCTATATCTACGGTTCTGGGTCTTCTGGTCTAACCAGAGCTATGTGTATGGTTCTGGGTCTTCTTGGTCTAATCAGAACTATGTGTATGGTTCTGGGTCTTCTTGGTCCTGCGGCCCAGGTGGTAGTAGTAGAGGAGTGTGATGATGAGGAAGAGGACTTCACTGAGGAGGAGCACGATGGCAGAGTTGGACAGCAGACCCAGCTCCACCAGGGTGATGGTGGTCACTGCAATGAGAGAGGAGACACACACACATTTTACAATTAGGGTTAAGTACCTTGCTCTAGGGCACATCGGCAGAATTTTCACCTAGTCGGCTAAAAGGGATTCGAACCAGCGACCTTTCAGTTACTGGCCCAATGCCTTTAACCGCTACACGTGTTTTACCCAACACTGATCTAGGGGATAAAGTGACATTTGGTACGCAAACCTACACCGATGAAATATCTGCACTCAAATATGTGTGATCATCTTGACCACTAGATGGCACTTCAATCTCAGTGTCAGACACCCTTATGCTGCAGTTCACTTCAGGGCTCATATGTATCAAGCCTCTCAGAGTAGGAGTGATGATCTAGGATCAGATTCCTCGATGTCTCTGTAATCTTATTCATTACAATCAAAAAAGGTTAAACTGATCCCAGATCAGAACTCTTTACTCTGAGATGCTAGATACAGTACATACGGCTCCTGGTCCCCGTCCATGTAATGTTATTCATTATGATCTAAAAGGTTAAACTGATCCCAGATCAGAACTCTTTACTCTGAGACGCTAGATACAGTACATACAGCTCCTGGTCCCCGTCCATGTAATGTTATTCATTATTATATAAAAGGTTAAACTGATCCCAGATCAGAACTCTTTACTCTGAGACGCTAGATACAGTACATACGGCTCCTGGTCCCCGTCCATGTAATGTTATTCATTATGATCTAAAAGGTTAAACTGATCCCAGATCAGAACTCTTTACTCTGAGATGCTAGATACAGTACATACGGCTCCTGGTCCCCGTAATGTTATTCATTATGATCTAAAAGGTTAAACTGATCCCAGATCAGAACTCTTTACTCTGAGATGCTAGATACAGTACATACGGCTCCTGGTCCCCGTCCATGTAATGTTATTCATTATGATCTAAAAGGTTAAACTGATCCCAGATCAGAACTCTTTACTCTGAGACGCTAGATACAGTACACACGGCCCCAGACTTTACTTCAGACAACACTGCAGGACTGAACAGAGATTGATTTTCCACTGATGTGTGAATGTCTCTTATTGATGTGTTAGAGGAGACTGGAGGAGACAACATGGACTCGCCTGGACTCTCAGTCCCTCTCTAAATACACTGACCATAGACATTACTGTTACTGTAACCAACTGATCATAGACATTACTGTAACCAACTGATCATATACACTACTACTACTGTAACCAACTGATCATAGACATTACTGTAACCAACTGATCATAGACATTACTGTTACTGTAACCAACTGATCATAGACACTACTGTTACTGTAACCAACTGATCAGACACTACTGTTACTGTAACCAACTGATCATAGACACTACTGTTACTGTAACCAACTGACCATAGACATTACTGTTACTGTAACCAACTGATCATAGACATTACTGTTACTGTAACCAACTGATCATAGACATTACTGTTACTGTAACCAACTGATCATAGACATTACTGTTACTGTAACCAACTGATCATATACATTACTGTTACTGTAACCAACTGATCATAGACACTACTGTTACTGTAACCAACTGACCATAGACATTACTGTTACTGTAACCAACTGATCATAGACATTACTGTTACTGTAACCAACTGATCATATACATTACTGTTACTGTAACCAACTGACCATAGACATTACTGTTACTGTAACCAACTGATCATAGACACTACTGTTACTGTAACCAACTGATCATAGACATTACTGTTACTGTAACCAACTGATCATAGACACTACTGTTACTGTAACCAACTGATCAGACACTACTGTTACTGTAACCAACTGATCATATACATTACTGTTACTGTAACCACCTGATCATAGACACTACTGTTACTGTAACCAACTGATCATAGACACTACTACTGTAACCAACTGATCATAGACATTACTGTTACTGTAACCACCTGATCATAGACACTACTGTTACTGTAACCAACTGATCAGACACTACTGTTACTGTAACCAACTGATCAGACACTACTGTTACTGTAACCAACTGATCATAGACATTACTGTTACTGTAACCAACTGATCATAGACACTACTGTTACTGTAACCAACTGATCATAGACATTACTGTTACTGTAACCAACTGATCATAGACACTACTGTTACTGTAACCAACTGATCATAGACACTACTGTTACTGTAACCAACTGATCATAGACATTACTGTTACTGTAACCAACTGATCATAGTCACTACTGTTACTGTAACCAACTGATCATAGACACTACTGTTACTGTAACCAACTGATCATAGACACTACTGTTACTGTAACCAACTGATCATAGTCACTACTGTTACTGTAACCAACTGATCATAGACACTACTGTTACTGTAACCAACTGATCATAGTCACTACTGTTACTGTAACCAACTGACCATAGACATTACTGTTACTGTAACCAACTGATCATAGACACTACTGTTACTGTAACCAACTGATCCACCTCACCCAATGTGGAACGGATACCATTATTTCTTTATTTTTGAAATTAGCCAGCTAGCCAGCTAACTAGCTACTTGCTATTAGCCACCGTTAGCGGTCTTCACCACTGTCCGTGGCCTGCACTACCTACCAGCCAGCTCTAGCCTGGACAATTATCGGCCAGTCTGCACAGCGTGCTATCGACCCAGAGCATATCTGATTTTCTACCGGAATCACTGGACCTTAACAACAGGATCATCGCAACTAGCTAGCTGCAACCTAATGGCTGTTGTTGTTGTTGGCTAATCACCACTGTCCCAAAACAAGCACCAGTTAGCCTTGAGCTAGCCTCGAGCCAGGCCCATCTCCCGGCTATCTACCTCTCTGTCAACCGGACGGGACCTCCTAGTGTTGACACGGAGCCCCGCCGATCCATCACGACTGGTCTGCCGACATAATCGTCTGATGTGGTTTCAACAGGCTTCCCGTTGCGACGACCACGAAGATCCATCTGCTAGCCCCGGCCCGCTAGCACGCGCAATCAACAGCCGTGCCTCCTGCTCGCCTGTACTTTAGCAGCCTACGATCTGCTCCCGGACTTACTTAGTGCTGTTCACTGGACCTTATGATCACTCAACTACACAGCTAATGCCTGCTGGACTGTTCCTTTACATGGTACCCCCATCCAGTTTATCTGTCCTGTTTATCTGTTTAGCCTCAGCCCAAACTTTCGTCGCCATTACCAGTTGTTCTCTTAGCCCTCTCGAATAACACCTATGATTGCATTATGCCTCTCTCCCATGTCAATATGCCTAGCCATTTGCTGTTTGGGTTAGTTCTTATTATACAATTTCACTGTAGATCCTCAAGTTCAGCTCAACCAGCCTCAGAGAGCTCCTTTGTCCCACCCCCCGTACACGCAGAGACCGGCTCAATCGGTACCTCCAGTGATGCTATCTCTTTCATAGTTACCCAATGCTTAGGTGTCCCTCCATTGTACTCATATCCTTCCATATCCTTGTCTGTACATAATGCCCTGAATCAATTCTACAACGCCCGGAAATCTGTCCTTTTTATTCTCTGTACCCAACGCACTAGAAGACCAGTTCTTAAAGCCTTTAGCCGTATCCTTATTCTATTCCTCCTCTGTTCCTCTGGTAATGTAGAGGTTAACCCAGGCCCTGTAGCCCCCAGTATCACTCCTACCCCCCAGGCGCTATCATTTGTTGACTTCTGTAACCGCAAAAGCCTTGGTTTCTTGCATGTTAACATCAGAAGCCTCTCCGCCTACCCTGATGGTCTAGCAGTGTCTGAATCTTGGTTTAGGAAGGCCACCAAAAATTCTGAAATTTCCATTCCGAACTACAACATTTTCGTCTAGATAGAACTGCCAAAGGGTGCGGAGTTGCAATCTACTGTAGAGATAGCCTGCAGAGCTGTATCATACTATCCAGGTCTGTGCCCAAACAGTTTGAGCTTCTACTTCTAAAAATCCACCTTTCCAGAAATAAGTCTCTCACTGTTGCCGCTTGCTACAGACCCCCCTCAGCCCGAGCTGTGCCCTGGACACCATATGTGAACTGATCGCCCCCCATCTATCCTCAGAGTTCGTACTGCCTGGTGACCTAAACTGGGATATGCTTAACACCCCGGCTGTCCTACAATCTAAACTAGATGCCCTCAATCTCACACAAATCATCAAGGAACCTACCAGGTACAACCCTAAATCCGTAAACATGGGCACCCTCATAGATATCATCCTGAAAAATATACCCTCTAAATACACCTCCGCTGTCTTCAACCAGGATCTCAGCGATCACTGCCTCATTGCCTGCGTCCGTAATGGGTCCGCAGTGAAACGCCCCTAAAACAATTCAGCGAGCAGGCCTTTCTAATTGACCTGGCCCAGGTATCCTGGATGGATATTGACCTCATTCCATCAGTAGAGGATGCCTGGATGTTCTTCAAAAGTGCTTTCCTCTCCATCTTAAATAAGCACGCCCCATTCAAAAAATTCAGAACTAAGAACAGATATAGCCCCTGGTTCACCCCAGACTTGACTGCCCTTGACCAGCACAAAAACATCCTGTGGCGTACTGCATTAGCATCGAACAGCCCCTGCGATATGCACCTTTTCAGGGAAGTCAGGAACCAATATACACAAGCAGTTAGGAAAGCAAAGGCTAGCTTTTTCAAACAGAAATTTGCATCCTGTAGCACTAACTCCAAAAGGTTTTGGGACACTGTAAAGTCCATGGAGAATAAGAGCACCTCCTCCCAGCTACCCACTGCACTGAGGCTAGGAAACACTGTCACCACCGATAAATCTACAATAATCGAGAATTTCAACAAGCATTTTTCTACGGCTGGCCATGCTTTCCACCTGGTTACCCCTACCCCATAGCTGATATCTACTACTACTACTGTAACCTACAGATAGTCTGTAAAGAAAAACTCTGATGATATGTTGTAATATATATCATAAACCAATATTTTAAGCCCAGTGCATCCTTGCTGCATAGTTGTTAGTTTGTCTTGTCAGTAAATGGACAGTCGAAGACGGAACAATGGATCCCTCACCCAGGAACTGGACAGCGAACAGGCAGGCCTCTGTCAGCAGGGTCCACTGGATGATGGCCTTCTCTGCTGTGTAGAGACCTTTCCACATGATCAATGAGACACCTGGTGAGAGAGAGAGAGAGAGAGAGGGATGTTTAGCATTAGGTTCAGGACTACAGTAGTCTAGTGTAGCCAGCCTTCCACATGGTTAGGTCTACATAGGTTCACGTCAGAACAGATCCAGACAACTAAATCTCTCAGCTACAATTCCTTCTTCATAGACGTGGCATTAGACTAGCATGTTGGCCGATGTTAACATGGTACCAGGGTAGTGCACACCTCCTCCTCATTATGAGGTAGTGAGCCCTTCTGATGACCCCAGCCCACACAGAGCCTTGGACAGATGCAGTAGAATACCATATTTACAACTATATAGTACATCTGTGGCTCTGTTCCCACCCCGGCTGATGCTCAACAGACAGTAGAGGAACAGTGTGTGTGTGTGTGTGTGTGTGTTCCAAATGCCACCCTATTCCCTATATGGTGTGCTACTTTTGACCACAGCTCTATGGGTCCTGGTCAAAAGTAGTGCACTATGTAGGGAATAGGGTACCATTTGGGATGAATCCTGTATCTTCACCCCTGCTGCCTACAGCCTTCTGCTGTTAAGGGGTGATCCTTTCTTCCCTGTTTATCTTTCTCAGGAGGGTTCCTCCTTCCATCCAGCCCTCCTTCCATCCATCCAGCCCTCCTTCCATCCATCCAGCCCTCCTTCCATCCATCCAGCCCTCCATCCATCCAGCCCTCCTTCCATCCAGCCCTCCTTCCATCCAGCCCTCCATCTCTCCCTCCAGCCCTCCATCTCTCCCTCCCTCCATCAGAGGGGGGACTGTACAGTCACGCCTTGCTGTCCTCATCATGTAATACTGTAAAACACGGCAGACTGAATACAGACCTCTTAATACCCTGTGACAAAAAGTATTAAAGCGTTCAATTATTATTTCTGTCTTATTTAGCTAGGTAAGCCCTGAGCTGGTTCTGGTCTTCCCTGTTATTTAGCTAGGTAAGCCCTGAGCTGGTTCTGGTCTTCCCTGTTATTTAGCTAGGTCAGCCCTGAGCTGGTTCTGGTCTTCCCTGTTATTTAGCTAGGTAAGCCCTGAGCTGGTTCTGGTCTTCCCTGTTATTTAGCTAGGTAAGCCCTGAGCTGGTTCTGGTCTTCCCTGTTATTTAGCTAGGTAAGCCCCGAGCTGGTTCTGGTCTTCCCTGTTATTTAGCTAGGTAAGCCCTGAGCTGGTTCTGGTCTTCCCTGTTATTTAGCTAGGTAAGCCCTGAGCTGGTTCTGGTCTTCCCTGTTATTTAGCTAGGTAAGCCCTGAGCTGGTTCTGGTCTTCCCTGTTATTTAGCTAGGTAAGCCCCGAGCTGGTTCTGGTCTTCCCTGTTATTTAGCTAGGTAAGCCCTGAGCTGGTTCTGGTCTTCCCTGTTATTTAGCTAGGTAAGCCCTGAGCTGGTTCTGGTCTTCCCTGTTATTTAGCTAGGTAAGCCCTGAGCTGGTTCTGGTCTTCCCTGTTATTTAGCTAGGTAAGCCCTGAGCTGGTTCTGGTCTTCCCTGTTATTTAGCTAGGTAAGCCCCGAGCTGGTTCTGGTCTTCCCTGTTATTTAGCTAGGTAAGCCCTGAGCTGGTTCTGGTCTTCCCTGTTATTTAGCTAGGTAAGCCCTGAGCTGGTTCTGGTCTTCCCTGTTATTTAGCTAGGTAAGCCCTGAGCTGGTTCTGGTCTTCCCTGTTATTTAGCTAGGTAAGCCCTGAGCTGGTTCTGGTCTTACCTGTTATTTAGCTAGGTAAGCCCTGAGCTGGTTCTGGTCTTACCTGTTCCATGTAAAAGGAGACAAAGTGAGATTGCATTGTCTTGCATCATTTATTCTCACTGTGATTTGGAGATGGACATGTTTAATGTATAATTGAATAAGGTTATAGCAGGCCGACTTTTCAATCCAGTTAAATTGCTTTGTTTCTTTACTGGCAGAAAAACCATCCAGCCATCTGAATGTCTATCCTCTTATCATACCCAGCAGAGTAGAAACTAATCATTTGGACCTGGTGCCTCTTTCTGGGCCAACAAGTCACTCAACATGAAATACAGGATCCAGAATGCACTGCTTTACGTCCTCACTTTAACACTGTTCACCAACAACAAGTGTACTCCGCCCTAGAGGAGTTCGTCAGGAACTAGACAGGACCATTAAATATTAATAGCTGGTGAGACCGAGCGGTTTCCCTGGCAGAGAAGTGGCAGTAGAGCAGCTTATCAACACAATCACAACAGACGTTTCCCTGAGTGTCAATAATGGTGTTGTGTTGCACTGTGAGAGGCTGATAAAAGCGATTAGATCTGATTAAAGAGGTGTGTGTATTGTCACAGTAGGCAGTCCTCACTGAGTAGTGCTCCTCCATAGAGTCTGATGGAGATCCTGGTGGTCCTGAGCTCAAACACTAACTCATACAGCTGACTGGGGAACACCAGAGCCTGTAGAGACAGACAGGGAGGAAGAGAGAGATTATATCGCCAGATGACAGCGAGAGATATATAGATAGAGTATCGATATAGACTACATCTAGACTATATTGTTCTCTCGATCTCTCTATCTATCTCTCTCTCTCGCTTCTCTCCTTCGTGCCTCTCTCTCCTTTGCGCTGCTCTCTCTCTCCTCGCTCTATCGCTCCTCCAGCTAACACATACTCTCTCTCTCCTCTCTTCTTTTCTCTCTCTCTCTTTTCTCTCTTCCCCTCTCTCTTTGCTGCTCTCTCTATCTCTCGTTTTCCTCTACTCTCTCTCTCTCTACTCTCTCCTTTGTCTCTCTCTAGTTCTGTTCTCGCCTCTTGTATCTCTCAGTTAACATCTATCACTATAATTATTACATCGATCTATATAACTCTCTATCTCAATTCTCTCTCTCTCTCTTACCCTTTCCTCTCTGTTTCATATCTCCCCTCCTCTCTACTATCCTTGCTCTTTCGCTCTCTCCCTTTCATTTCCTCTTACTTTCGTCCTTTCTCCTTGTGATCCTTCTTCTTTTTCTCTTGCTCTTCAACTTTCTATCTTCTCTCTCCTCTTCTTTTTCTCTCTCTCCTTTCCCCTCTCTCGCTTTTTTTTTTTTGTTTTCTCCTTAACTTTGCCCCTCTCCTATTCTGTTTTCTCCTCTCTCCCATTTCGCTCTTTTTCGCTGTTCCCCCTCTCTCTCTGCGGATCCTATCTCTCCCTCTCGCTGTCTTCTTTGTTCTACTCTTTTCTGCCTTGGCTCCCCTCTCGTCTCGCTTCTCTCTCAATCTCCTTTTCTCTCTCTCCCCTTTCTTTCTCTATCCTCTCTCTTTTCTCGTTCCGCTTTCTTTCTCTTCCTCTCATTCTTTCTTTTTTTTTTCTATCTCGTCTCCTCTAACTCTCTCTCTCTCTCTCCTTCTCTCTCTCTCTCCTCTCCCTCTCTCCCCTTCTCCTATGGCCGTCGTCCTATTCCCATATCTATATACTATTACATCTATCTATTAATCTTCTTATTTCATACTACTCATTTCTCTCCCGGTCTCTCTACCTACACTACTTCTCTCTCTCTCTCTTCTCTTCTCCTCTCTCTCTCCCTTCTCTTTTTTTTTTGTTATTCTTTTTTTTTCGTTGTAGTTATTTTTTTTTTTATTTCTCATACACGATTTGTGACGCTCTTCCCTGCTTTTTTTTAGGTTGTGATTATTTTTTCTATGTATAGGTGTAATTTGATTTTGGTTGCTTCGATATACATTAATGTTGTATAAATTTCAGTTTTTACAGCTTCCTTTTAAATATAATACTAAATAATAAAATAATAATAATAATAATAATAATAATAATAATAATAATAAGGTAAGCATTTTGAATAAGGCTTTCCATAGTCCCAGAGAAACTTGACATCCCTTACAGCAGTAGTGTCTTCAGCCCTGGTTCTGGGGACTCTCCGGGTTAAAGGCTTTTTTCCCAACCAGGTAATAACACTCTTGATTCAACTAATCAACAAGCCCTTGATAAGTCGAATCAGATGTGTCGTGTTAGTGAGGGGCTGGAGAAAAAGCCTGCACGCCCTGTCCATCCCCAGGACCAAGGTTGAACCATGCTGTTAAAGGAATTGGACTGGGAGATATCTATACAGTACAGGAGAGGTCAAGCTACGTCCAGTTGACTAATGTACAGTACTTACTATTAAGGCTATGGTTGTGAACAGAACAGCAGACATGAGAATCCATATCCTAGAAAGAAAACACACAAGAGACATAAATTAATGTATTGATCAGAAACACAGGAGAGGAATAAACACAGATGTTGATAATCAGAAACAGCCTGGACAGAGCTCAGAGAACATGGGTCATTTAGGACACAAACATGGTGACTGATCCAGCTCCATAGAGTCGCTGTCCGTCTCCTGTATCCCTCACCGTACTACCATATAAATCGGCTACAAGGCAATTAACTAACTACTGGTACTCCTGTATTTCCTCTCACAAGTCCAACTCCATATCAATCTGCTGCAGGCATAACTAACTGTCCTCCTGTATTCCCTCCCACAGTCCAACTAACCAACCATATCCAATAGGCTGCGGCAGTAACTCCCTGTTCCTCCCTGTATTCTCTCCCCAGTCCCAACTACTACCATAATCAATAGGCTGCGGGAATAACTCTGTCCTCCTGTTATTCGCCCACAGTCCAACTACCATATCCAATAGCTGCAGGCATAATACTGTACTCCTTTATTCTCCCACAGTCCAACTACCTATCCAAATGTCCTGCACGGCAGTACCTACTGTCCTCTGTTATTCTCCCACAGTCACAACTACCAATCCAATAGGCTGCGGCAGTACCTACTGTCCTCCGGTTATTCTTCTCCCCATTCCAACTACCCATATCAATAGGGCAGGCATTAACTACTGTACTCCTGTATTCTCCCACAGTCCAACTACCATACCAATGGCTGCAGGCATTACTACTGTCCCCTGTTTCTCTCACAGTCCAACTACCAGATCCAATAGGCTACCGGCATAACTCTGTACTCCTGTAATTCTCCCCCCGTCTCCAACTCCATCTCCATAGGCTGCAGGCAGTAACTACTGTCCCCTGGATTCTCCCACCTTCCAACTACCACTCAATAGGCTGCAGCATAACTACTGTACTCCTGTAGTCTTGCCCACAGTCCACTACCATAATCCAATAGGCTGCAGGCAGTAAACTACTGTACCTCCTGTATTCTCCCACAGTCCAACTACCATATCCAATAGGCTGCAGGCAGTAACTACTGTCCTCCTGTATTCTCTCACAGTACAACTATCATATCCAATAGGCTACAGGCAGTAACTACTGTCCTCCTGTATTCTCCCACAGTAACTACCATATCCAATAGGCTACAGGCAGTAACTACTGTCCTCCTGTATTCTCTCACAGTCCAACTACCATATCCAATAGGCTGCAGGCAGTAACTACTGTACTCCTGTATTCTCTAACTACCATATCCAATAGGCTACAGGCAGTAACTACTGTACTCCTGTATTCTCTAACTACCATATCAAATAGGCTACAGGCAGTAACTACTGTCCTCCTGTATTCTCTCACAGTCCAACTACCATATCCAATAGGCTGCAGGCAGTAACTACTGTACTCCTGTATTCTCTAACTACCATATCCAATAGGCTACAGGCAGTAACTACTGTACTCCTGTATTCTCTCACAGTCCAACTACCATATCCAATAGGCTGCAGGCAGTAACTACTGTCCTCCTGTATTCTCTCACAGTAACTACCATATCCAATAGGCTGCAGGCAGTAACTACTGTACTCCTGTATTCTCTAACTACCATATCCAATAGGCTGCAGGCAGTAACTACTGTACTCCTGTATTCTCCCACAGTCCAACTACCATATCCAATAGGCTGCAGGCAGTAACTACTGTCCTCCTGTATTCTCCCACAGTCCAACTACCATATCCAATAGGCTGCAGGCAGTAACTACTGTACTCCTGTATTCTCTAACTACCATATCCAATAGGCTGCAGGCAGTAACTACTGTCCTCCTGTATTCTCTCACAGTAACTACCATATCCATAGGCTGCAGGCAGTAAACTACTGTCCTCCTGTATTCTCTCACAGTAACTACCATATCCAATAGGCTACAGGCAGTAACTACTGTCCTCCTGTATTCTCTCACAGTAACTACCATATCCAATAGGCTACAGGCAGTAACTACTGTCCTCCTGTATTCTCTCACAGTAACTACCATATCCAATAGGCTGCAGGCAGTAACTACTGTCCTCCTGTATTCTCTCACAGTAACTACCATATCCAATAGGCTGCAGGCAGTAACTACTGTCCTCCTGTATTCTCCCACTGTCCAACTACCATATCCAATAGGCTGCAGGCAGTAACTACTGTACTCCTGTATTCTCTAACTACCATATCCAATAGGCTGCAGGCAGTAACTACTGTCCTCCTGTATTCTCTCACAGTAACTACCATATCCAATAGGCTGCAGGCAGTAACTACTGTCCTCCTGTATTCTCTCACAGTAACTACCATATCCAATAGGCTACAGGCAGTAACTACTGTACTCCTGTATTCTCCCACAGTAACTACCATATCAATTGGCCCAGCGTCGTCCGGGTTTGGCCGGTGTAGGCCGTCATTGTAAATAAGAATTTGTTCTTAACTGACTTGCCTACTTAAATAAAGGTAAAATAAAAAATTAAATTTTTTTTTAAAAACGATTGAGAGGAAAATTAATGTATTATTCTGCTCACTGTTGGTTCTATAAAGATCCTATATTCTGTCTGTTGGTTCTATAAAGATCCTATATTCTGTCTGTTGGTTCTATAAAGATCCTATATTCTGTCTGTTGGTTCTATAAAGATCCTATATTCTGTCTATTGATGGTTCTATAAAGATCCTATATTCTGTCTCTTGGTTCTATAAAGATCCTATATTCTGTCTATTGATGGTTCTGTAAAGACCCCATATTCTGTCTATTGATGGTTCTATAAAGATCCTATATTCTGTCTGTTGGTTCTATAAAGATCCTATATTCTGTCTGTTGGTTCTATAAAGATCCTATATTCTGTCTGTTGGTTCTATAAAGATCCTATATTCTGTATGTTGATGGTTCTATAAAGATCCTATATTCTGTCTGTTGGTTCTATAAAGATCCTATATTCTGTCTGTTGGTTCTATAAAGATCCTATATTCTGTATGTTGATGGTTCTATAAAGACCCCATATTCTGTCTATTGATGGTTCTATAAAGATCCTATATTCTGTCTGTTGGTTCTATAAAGATCCTATATTCTGTCTATTGATGGTTATATAAAGATCCTATATTCTGTCTATTGATGGTTCTATAAAGATCCTATATTCTGTCTATTGGTTCTATAAAGATCCTATATTCTGTATGTTGATGGTCCTATAAAGATCCTATATTCTGTCTGTTGGTTCTATAAAGATCCTATATTCTGTCTGTTGGTTCTATAAAGATCATATATTCTGTCTGTTGATGGTTCTATAAAGATCCTATATTCTGTCTGTTGATGGTTCTATAAAGATCCTATATTCTGTCTGTTGGTTCTATAAAGATCCTATATTCTGTCTGTTGGTTCTATAAAGATCCTATATTCTGTATGTTGATGGTCCTATAAAGATCCTATATTCTGTATGTTGATGGTTCTATAAAGATCCTATATTCTGTATGTTGATGGTTCTATAAAGATCCTATATTCTGTATGTTGATGGTCCTATAAAGATCCTATATTCTGTATGTTGATGGTCCTATAAAGATCCTATATTCTGTATGTTGATGGTTCTATAAAGATCCTATATTCTGTATGTTGATGGTTCTATAACGATCCTATATTCTGTCTGTTGGTTCTATAAAGATCCTATATTCTGTCTGTTGGTTCTATAAAGATCATATATTCTGTCTGTTGATGGTTCTATAAAGATCCTATATTCTGTCTGTTGATGGTTCTATAAAGATCCT